TGTTAATTCAATTTTTGTTTTGTTTTGTAATATCTTAATAGGATTAGGATTTAATAAAATATTTAATTAAATAATGTTAAGAAAAGAGAGTTTTTAAGCAAAAATATTTTTATTTAAATGATCTTTAAATAGTTTAGGATATTAATAAGAATTATAATATGATTAGTTTTTATTAAATTTTGAAAAGGGGGTTTTACAATGAAAAAAATTATATTAAATAAAATTTATTAAAAGTTTGGAAATTTATCAAATTAGATTTGAATTTAATAGTTCTAAGTGTTAGAAATATTATTTTAAATTGCACATAAAGCTAATAATTAGAATTGAAGCATGCACTATATTTATTTATGTATATTAATGTTTTATCTTCACGATGGATGGCTATGAATATTAAAGACCAATGAAATTGTGTTTTTATGCTTGAATGATCACAATAATAAATAGGGTCCAAGTGTCCTATATTTTCTCTATTTTCGTGTTAGGTTTGTAAAATTAGTTTCTCATTTAGGTTCCCTTGAATATAACTCAAGATTTCAAATTTAATTATGTAAATGTTATATAATTTAGAAATATAATAATTTAGATAGGAAAATTATTTTGTAATCCAAGACGAAGAAAGAATAGCGGTAAAGGATACAACCTTGATGCTCTCAAAAAACTTATGAAGATTTATAGTAACTATCTAGGTTTTAACCACCTAATTCATTTTGATGACTCGAAAGAGTTAGTTTAGATATATTCATAATCATCTAATTAACATGACATGCTAGGGGTGTATGTTAATATATAATTATTAAGTATGATATATCAATTATGCCATGAAATGAGATTTAATTAAAAATTGATAATAAATCCCTCATAAATATATTAAATACATTTTAAGAACATGATTTGTTGCATTTTGATTTTATGTGCATAAAACTAGAGTTATATTCATTGATGACTTGTTAAGCTACTTAAAGTTACCATTAATTAAATATATTTAATGCTACAAAATTAGATCCTAATTAACTAACTTATATGATTATATGATATGGATGAGTACTTAAGGTCATAAAAACTAAATGGGGGTTCTAGCCCACTAAGAGATTTCAACGAGATTTTCAGTATTAATAGGGAGAGATATTAATTTGTAAGAAAATAATAGGAGATCAAGTTAAGATTAAAGACCTTAACTGAATTTGATTATAAATATTTATACATGAAACCACAACTCGTTATCTTTACATGAATATGTTAATAGATTACCATGAGTAAAAATAAATATATTACTATGTAGCATACATGATGCTAATAAATTGATTATACCAAACTTCTTATTCTAGTATCGAAATACAAGAATTGTTCTCAAACAATAAAAAAGATTATATCTTCTTAAAAATCTAATTTCTCTTGTCCTTAATAAGGACACTGATAGCAAAGTTAGGATCAAATATCAATATCATGTTAATGATGATGAATAGGCTACATATATAATGTAGCTAAAATGTCATTTGAACTTCAAATATATCATGAGGATATGGATGCCTAAAAAATAATTATACATTTTAAAGAGTTTGATGTGGCTATATGCATTGAGAGGTATAAAATCTCTAAGAAATTATTTTGTTGTAAGATGATAAAGGGTTCCTCAATGAACACCTCTATGTTGAGGATGGTTTGCTATTTTAAAGAAATTGGGCTTTGTCATATACCATGAGTTAAACATTACATTGGCCTTGCAGTTTAAACATAAAAGCTTACTTAGGACACAAGAGTGAAAGGGGTACTTGTCATCATTGTGGCAAGGAAAGCCACTATAAGAAGAACTATAAAGATTATTTTGCATCTGCAAAGACTAAAAAGCTTTTTAAAGTTTATGCTTCATGTGTGTTTATAGTTGAATAAAAGTAAAGTAAATTTACAAGCTTGCAATAAAGCAATGGTTGTCGCATTTTTTCACGTGGACTAATACTAGAACTTGATAATTATTATTTTATTCTAACACTTTCTAAAAACATCATATTTATTTCTGAATGGATTTAAATTTATTATTAAAGGCAAATGTTGTTCCTTTTATAATAATAATGTTTATTATGGATCCAGTACTTATAAAAATAGCTTGTATATACTTGAACTTGAGATGCCCAGATTTAATATAATTAGCAAAAAGAAAAAATTAGATAATTAATATACATTTATTTATTGCATTGTAGTATAAGTCATATTAATAAAACAAGAAAAACTAAGTAACATAAAATAAAAAGATATTTGATCCTTCTAGTTATGAATCATATGAAACTTGTAAGGCTTTATTATATAAGATGACCAAAACACTCTTTACTAAAAGAGTGAAAGATTTAATAAATTGTTAGGTATAATACATACAGATGTATGTGAACCAATAACAATTCATGTTATAGATAGACATACATGTTTTATTATTAATGACCATGTTAGATATGATCATATATATTTGATGAAAGTTAGGATCATTTAAAAGGTTCAAAGAATTCAAAAATGATGTTAAAATACAAATTAAAACGAGTATTAAGATGCTTTGATTGAATCAAGGTGGTGAGGGCTTCAACCAAGATTCTCAAAATTATTTAAAAAAGCATGAGATTTTCTTATAATGGACACCTCTTAGAACACCATAATATAATGGAGTTTCTAAAAAGAGAAATCATATCTTATTGGATATGATGCAATTCATGATGAACTATACAAACATTCCATCTTTTCTCTAGGGTTATGACATACAAACTACCATTTACCTTTAAATAGGTTTTCATCAAAATTTGTTGAAATAATTCCATATAAGATATGGAATGATAAGAGACCAAACATGTCATACTTAAAGATTTTGAGATATGAGTTTATGTGAAATATATTATATTTGAAAAGTTATGAGTTAAGTCAAATAAATGTAAGCTTGTGAGATATTTAAAAGAATCAATTGGATATCATTTCTACCATCTTGTTGAGCAAAAGATGTTTTTCTTAAAATAAACTATATTCCTAGAAAAAAATTTTGTTCTTGAAATGAGTAGTATGAGGAAACTAGAACTTGAAAAAGTTTAAGAAATAAAAACTAACATCCAAGTAAAACCTAAACCTAAGGCTATAATACTGGATGTTCAGCTTGAAACTCAAGAAACACAAGAACTCTATAAATCTAGTAGGACGCGTCAGGCACCATTGAGATATCAACTTCTCGTGGAAGATGATAATGATGAGTTGCACATACTTCATAAGTCTATTAATTACATAGAAGCAATATCTACTATTAATTATAAGAAATGACTTAAAGCCATTAAATCTAAAATGAATTCCAAGTATGGAATTTAGTTGATCCATGTAAAGGTATAAAACCAACTAGATATAAGTGAGTCTTTAACAGAAAGATTAATATGGATGGCAATATACAAAAATACAAAGTTATACTAGTTGCCAAAGTTTGTAAACAAAGACAAAAGATTGACTTTGATGAAACCTTTTCGTCAATAGCTATATTAAAATCTGTAAGGATTTTGCTGGCTATAATTGTATACAATGATTGTGAGATTTTGAAATTGAATGTCAAAATTGTATTCTTGAATGAGGATCTACATGAAGATGTGTATTTGACATAACCTAAAGGTTTTGAATCTAAGAATGATTTTAAGATGGTATTTTAGAGTGATATATTTCTATTATTTAAGAGTAGTTTGTTTATAATAAAAGAGTATCTATGTGATGATCTTTTTAAAATAAATATAATGATCATTGTAACCAATGATAAGAACAAAAATATAAATGCCTCTTCTTCTTATATGCTTGAGTCTTGTTATATGTGGCATGTCATGCTATGTAATGTGAATTGACACGACGAAAAGATTAATGTCTTCTCTAAAGTGCAAGAGTGTCGAAGTAATAAATAACCCAGCAAGACCGGGATCGAACCACAGGGAGGTTAATTGTATAAATTATAAATAACAATATTAAATAACAACAATAGCAATAATAACAATAACAACAACAATAACAATAGTAGTAGTAATAATAATAATAATAATAATAATAATAAAGAAAGAGAAGAAGAAGAAGAAGATGATGAGAACTTGGAGATGGAATATTAGTGTAAGGATTAAACAATGATAATAACAAATGTCAAGGTTAGAGGTTCCACTAATGGTATGTCAAACAAGTATAGTATAAACTCTTATTATTCAATTGGAAACCACACACAAAGGAGGTTCCAATCAGATTATAGATTGTTAACATGATTACATTAGTCATCTTATTCGATTAATGCTAATACTTGTAAATCTCATCAAGCATTCATGATTATAACTTATGTTAACAACAAATCAAGTTCTTTTCATAGCTTAGGTGTCGGTTATACCATACAGTATGAGCTATGAAAGTGTCAAGCATTTGTTGTACCAAGTGTTATACAACATAAATCAAGATTAGTCATTTAACAAGCAAAGTATTAAAAAGTGAACAAGATAACAAATACAAAATATGTTAGTATCAAACATTAAAGTCCATATTAAGTTTACACTATAATTATTCTTACACCATTAGTGTAACCTTTTCACCTTGACATAATAAACTTAGCTAGACATAATGAAAGAAAAAAAAATAAACAAAATAAGAACATAAATAAGATAAAAGTTAACTAAGGAAATGAAAGGAAATGAAAGGCATAAATTTTATATTAATGAAAGCAAAGCATAAACATTACAAAAAATACAAAGAGAAAAAGCAAGAGCATGATCTTGATCTGGACACCAAGATGCCTAAATGCATGGGAAATGCCTCCTTTTATAGGCCAAAATTGGGAACTATTGATTTGATGACTAATTGATAAGTGGGTGGCCAACTTTTGACTTGGTGACAATCCTTATCTTCTCTTGTCTGCCCAAAACTTCATTGATAACGTCAAAACTGGAGCCAGTTGTAAACATGAAAATTGTAGGCAATTGTCTCAGATTTCTTGTGTAAAAATTTCAGCTCATTTGGACTTCTAGAACTCCAGATATGGCTAAAATACCGAACAGTGCTCGGGCTGGAAGACTGATTCGGGCTTCTTTGTTGTTGCTACAATTTGGACTTGATAATGGCCTTTTTAGATCTTGGGCTCCATATGAAAGTTGTAGGCCTATGTCTTACCTTTCCATCCATATAAATTGGACCTAAATCTGAGATATATAGCACTAGATATTACCCAATTACCGAACAGTGTTCCGGTTTGGATTGCACCGACATCTCTTTTCTAAGTTTGGCCATCTCTTTATCCTTGCAATTTAAGTTCTTCAAGTCATCAATCAATCCTTTCATTTATGTGATAGGCTTCCATTAAAAATAGACATTTACCACAAATTAAAGGTATCTTATATTATTAGATATATTATTATAAAACATGCTTTGGTTAAGGAGTTATTGATACTTCAAGTGCAAAATGATGATATAAAACCATGATAAAAATGCACTTTTAAGTACTAATCAAAGAACATGATTAAGTTATTTTTTAAAATTATTATGAATTAATATATGGAATTATTTAGGGATAAATTGATATTTTACCAATTTATAGGGTTTTTAAGATTTCTCTATAAAGAAAAGGTTATGCCTCTTATTTTTAAATGGTTGTTTGTTAGACAAAAAAACTCATAAGTCACATAATAGAGAGTTAGCACTCTAGACATAATAATCTATCTCTCTTAAATATGGATTTAGAAGATTTCTCACCGGTGGTTCGTATGGATTACCATTGGAGGCCGGATAATTGGATAGGTTATGATTTGTGACAACCAATATTTAAAGAATTATTCAAAGCTGAAAAATATCAGATTTTTTTATTAATAAATCCCTAAACAATTAGACCTATCTAACAGGATTATAGAGACTCCTAAATTATTTTGCTTTATTGTTTTAATTGCGTATTTGCTATTAAGAAAACCTAACATTGAAAAGGTAAAAAACCTCTTACAAATACTTCAAAGTGTGGAGGTGTCTTATAAAGGTAGCAATACTTATCCTAAAAAGATCAAGATAGGACTTAAGGTTGTGAACTGTGTATTTATTTGATGTGCATATAATAATAGTGCATATCAATTTCTTATACATAAGTCAAATATTAAAGATATTCATCCTTATACTATTATAGAATCAAGGAATACTATATTTTTTGAGAATGATTTTCTATGAAATGAAGCATGAGAATGTTTATTGTTAAAAGTTTTAGACAACAAGAAAGTATGGACTATTTTGACATATATTCACATGTGTTAAGAATAACCTCCATACAAACATTAATATCTATTGCAACTATTACTAAGCTTAAAATACATCAAATGGATGTAAAAATAACTTTCTTAAATGGTGACCTTGAAAAAAAGCTTTCCATGAAACAACCCGAGGATTTGTCGTCAATGGATAAGAAAAGAAAGTTTGTAAACTTGTCAAATTATTATATGGTTTGAAACAAAAACCTAAACAATAGCATAAGTTTGACAAGGTTATGTTGTCAAATGAACTCAAAATCAACAAAGTTGATAAATATGTTTATGTTAAAAACATTGATAAATTATGTTAAACTTGATAGTTAACATTTTTTAAGTAGACTTGATCATACAATCATTGCTGCTTAAAATTAACATATCATACATAGAGACACAAAATGACATATCACGAATAAAAATTTCTAAGATATTTAATGGATTGGTATTGTTCCAACTTATTATGTTGAGAAAATTCTCGAGAAATTTTCTAAAGATGACTATAGCACTGTCAAAATACTAATTTATATAAGTGTATATATGTCTAATAATAGAGGTAAAAGAAATAAATCAATTGAGATATTCTTGAATAATTAGAAGTCTAATGTATATTATAAACTATATAAGTACTGATATTGCTTACTCAGTTAGTAAACTGAGTAGATTTATAAGTAATCCAAGTATGGATCATTGAAAGACAATTAAAAAAATACTTAAGTATTTAAGGTACACCTTGAGCTATAGGCTACACTATAGCGATTACCTAATAACACTAAAAGAGTATAGTGATAATAATTGAATATCCAACATTAAGAATTTAAAATCTACAAGTGGATATGTATTCACACTTGATGGGGTAGCTGTGTTATGAAAATCCTTCAAACAAACACGTATCACTAGGTCCAAGAGGGAATTAGAGTTTATTGCTCTTAATAACATTAGAGAGGAAGCTAAATGGATTTAGAATTTCTTAGAGGATATTCTACATTGGCTAAAATTAATGCCAACAATTTGTATCCATTACAATAGTTAGTCAGCAATTAGAAAGGCACAAAGTAATATGTATAATGAGAAGTTTAGACATATAAGTTGTAGATATAGGAAATTTAAACACGTGCTTTTAAATGGAATATTTCCATTGACTATGTAAAGTTAGGAAAATAATGTGAATCCACTAATCAAAGGTTTATTGAGAGAGCTTGTGTATAATTCATCAAGATAAATGAGCTTAAAGTCTTTAAAAGATGAAAAGGTGTAATGATGATAACCATACTTAGTTGATTAGAGATTTCAAGATATAGATTCAAATAGAAAACTAAGTCATATAACATTCTTAATATAACCAAAAAAATATTTGATTAGTACTTAAAAGTGCATTTTTTATCAAGGTTTTATATCATCATTTTGCACTTGAAGTATCAACAACTCCTTAACTAAAACATGTTTTATAATAACGTATCTAATAATATAAGATACCTTTAATTTATGGTAAATGTTTATTTTAAATGCAGGCCTCTCATATAAATGAAAGGATTGATTGATGAATTTAAGAACTAAAATTAAAAGGACAAAGAGATGGCCAAACTTAGAAAAGAGATATCGGTGCAGTCCAAACTGGAACACTATTCGGTAATTAGGTCATATATAGAGCTATAGATCTCAAATTTAGGTATACTTTATATGGATGGAAAGATAAGATATAGGCCTATAACTTTTATATGGAGCTCAAGATCTAAAAAGGCCATTTTTAAGTCCAAATTGGAGCAACAACAAAGAGGTCAGAATCTATCCTCCAGCCCGAGCACTATTCAGTGTTTGACCCATATCTGGAGTTCTAGAAGTCCAAATGATCTAAATTTTTTACAAAAAAAAAAAAGATTATACAATTTCCTACAACTTTGATGTTTTCAAGTGGTTCTAATTTTGACGTTATCAATGATGTTTTGGGCAAACAAGAGAAGATAAGGATTGTCACCAAGTCAAGAGTTGGTCACCCACTCATCAATTAGTCATCAAATCAATAGTTCCCAATTTTGGCCTATAAAAGGAGGCATTTACCATGCATTTAGGCATCTTGGTTTATAAAAGGAGGCATTTGCCATGAATTTAGGCGTCTTGGTTTCTAGATCAAGATCATGTTATTGCTTTCTCTCTTTGTATTTTTTATAATGTTTATGCTTTGCTTTCATTAATATCAAGTTTATGCCTTTCATTTCCTTTCATTTACTTAGTTAACTTTTATCTTATTTATGTTCTTATTTTGTTTATTTATTTTTCTTTCTTTTATTATGTCTAGCTAAGTTTATTATGTCAAGGTGAAAAGGTTACACTAATGGTGTAAGAATAAGTATAATGTAAACTTAATATGGACCTTAATGTTTGATACTAACATGTTTTGTATTTGTTATCTTGTTCACTCTTTAATACTTTTTGTTATTATTATTACTATTGTTGTTGTTGTTATTGTTGTTTTATAATTGTTGTTTATAATTTGTACAATTAACCTCCCTGTGGTTCGACCCCGGTCTTGCCGGGTTATTTATTACTTTAACACTCCTGCACTTGGGAGAAGACATTTATCTTTTCATCGTGTCAAGTTTTTGGCGCCGTTGCCGGGGAGGTAAGTTCTTGTACAAATTATATTATTTATTTTATTTTCTCTTTTCACTTTTCTTGTATATAACTTTGTTTCTTGTGTCTTATTTTTTCTTCTTTCTTTTATTCTATTCCTACACGTGTATGAGAGTGTGGTCAAGTACATCAAGTGATAGATTTTATAAGGTATCCTCATCATTTTCAGAAAATTTAGCCAAAGAAGATAATCAATCACTTCATAATGAGAATAATGAGAATAACCATGTTAGAATACTTAGAGACCACGTGAATCCTACAAAAACAAGTGCACCATCATGCATAGTTTTTTCTCCTAATACATCTCATTTTAATTTTAAGCCAGGCATTATTCAACTTTTACCTTCTTTTCATGGCTTAGATTTAGAAAATCCATACTTGTATTTAAGAGAATTTGAGGAGGTTTGTAACACATATAATGATTCAAATTGTAACATGAACACCATCAGATTAAAGCTTTTTCCTTTTTCATTAAAAGATAAAACTAAAACATGGCTACAAAATTTGAGACCAGGATCCATTCGTGTTTGGGATGAAATGCAACAACAGTTTTTAAAGAAGTTTTTCCCATCTCATATAACAAACTCTTTCAAAAGACAAATCACCACATTCACTCAAAAACCAGGAGAAACATTTTAGCAATGTTGGGATAGGTATCGAGACTTACTTAATACTTACCCTCATCATGTTTTTGAAACATGGAGATTGGTTTCATATTTTTATGAAGGTTTAACACTTAGAGATAGGCAAATGGTTAAATTGATGTACAATGAAACTTTTGAAGATAAAGACCTTGATGAAGCAATGGAGTACTTAGACTTGTTAGCTGAAAATGCTCAAAATTGAGACACCGCAGATACTTATGAGGCACCGAGTAAAACTCAACCTCATACATCTAGTGAAGGTATGTATAACTTTAGGGAAGATCATGACCTCCAAGTCAAGTTTACATCTTTAGCTAGAAAAGTCGAGGCACTAGAATTGAAAAAGAGTGGTCAAATAAAATTTGTTGAAAACATTGTGTGTCAAATATGTGAAACAAAAAAACACTCAACCAATAATTGTCCAACCTTGCCTTCTTTTAAGGAATGTCTCCATGAACAAGCTGATGCTTTAAACAATTTTCAAAGGCCCAACCACAAACCATACTCGCAAACATATAACCCTGGTTGGAGAAATCACCCAAATTTTAGTTGGAAGAGTGACAATGCACAAACTTCACAACCACAGTTTCAAGCACACCATAATTTCCAAAATTCTCATAGATATACACCTCCTTATGCTCCACCTCTTACAAGAAATTTTGAGGAAACTTTGTATGCATTTATTGAAAAGCAAGAGATAGTCAACACTCAACTTACTCAAAGCATAATAGATTTTAAAGATACTCTTGCTAAATTCATATCTGCTCTCAGTTTTCAAGAGAAAGGTAAGTTTCCATCTCAACCACAGCAAAATCCCAATGGGCAATACAATGCAAATGCAAGTAGTTCTGGAAATCAACACATGGATCAAGTCAAATCAGTCATCACTCTTCGTACTGGTAAGGTTATTCAAAAACCAATTCTTGAACCTTGTGACAAAGATGATGAGTCAATCACTTAGGGTAAGGAAGGGGTTGAATCTGAACGTTGCAAAGAGAAGACTGATTCCCCGTTAGCACTTCTATTTCCTCATGCTATGACCAATCAGGAAGAAATCAAGGATTAAAAAGGCACCAAAAATGTTAATGCGGATCTTTTATCAAAAGTGACAATAGATTCGACACCTAACATCACACCAATCGATGATTACTTTCCTGATGAATCTCTACTGTCTCTTAGTTCAATGCCTTGGTTTGCTAAAAATATCAATTTTCTTGCTTTAGGATTTTTACTAGCTCACTGGAGTATCGAAGACAAAAGAAAATTTTTGAGCAACATGCAAAAATTTTATTGGAATGACCCTTACTTATTCAATTATTGTCTTAATCAAATATTTCAAATATGCATTCCCGACAATGAGGTAAGTAATGTCATTAAATTTTATCACTCTAAGGCACGTGGGGATCTTTTCTTATAAAAAAAGAGAATTGTAGAAATCTTACAAAGTGGATTTTACTGGCCCACCATATTCAAGAAATCACATGCATTCCGCAAAACCTGTGAAAATTGTCAAAAGGTGGGATTTATTTCAAAACATAGAGAGTCTTTAGATAATCTTTTATTAACTCTTAAGTCTCATCATAGTCGAGATAAGTATCGTGCAATTCATGATTTATGGCTCAATTTTCATAAAGAACATGCTTGACTTAGTTTTAGGAATCTGACTAAAAAAAAAGCTCTGTTTGCCAGTTTTTAAGAAAACTGGATGGGAAGTCTATCCCCAACCCATAAAGGGCATTTAAGTCGTTCTTGGACGTAAAATCAGGGGAAGATGTGAGCCATAATCACAACTACCTGTACATACATATGCTTTTTCAAATAAATAAATAAAGAGAGAGAGAGTGTGTGTGAGACTCCAACTGGCCTACATATAGGTGGTATGATTGCCTTTTTAATTTCTCATCTATAAAATACTATCTTCCTTCCTTCCATTTCTACTTAACCCATACATTCAACAAATATCAAAGTGTGTATAAATGGCAAGTTCCTCAATTCATCACATAAGAAATATTTATGTTTTCGGTGGATCTAGTCCTGGGAAAGAAAAGGAGTTTTTAGAATCAGCAAACCATCTTGGTTAGGTGCTAGCTGAGAGAAAGATTCATTTAGTGTATGGGGGAGGCAGTTTGGGATTAATGGGAGGTGTATCAATAGCTGTATTTTTAGGAGGTAGTCAAGTTTAGGGGGTTGTCCCCCGAAGCTTTATTACAAGGGGACATCATTGGAAAAATAATTGGAAAGGAACTACAGGTCTCCACAATATCTGCTCGAATGAATGCAATGTTTAACCATGCTGATGCCTTCATTGCTTTACCAGGTGGTCTAGGCACATTGGAAGAGATCTTTCATATTTCCTCTTGGGCCCAACTGCACATTCACCATAAACCTATAGGTTTGTTAAATGTTAATGGTTATTATGATAAGTTGTTTTCTTTTCTTGATCATGCTGTGGAACAAGAATTTCTAACATCTTTTGCATGACAAATCATAATTTCTGCTGCTACTGCTGAACAATTAATTGACCAACTACAATCTTTCATTCCTGTAATTGATCCCTCTATGAGTCGTATAAATTGGTCAACTAAGGAAAGCTGTAAAAAGCTTAGATTGGATTTGAGCCTTCATTTGTGAATCTTTGTATCTTTTGGTTTTATTATTATGTTTTGTTGTTTCTTATATTTGTTTCAGTGTGTGGGTTTGTCAGTATTCGTTATTTCAGGTGATATCTTCTATAATCTATCTTTCTACCTTAGAACATTGAGGACAATGTCTCATTTTGGTTGGGGGGAGAGGGTAGTAGCTAAAAAAAAAAATTTAACTAACTGTGTTTTCTATTTCATAAAGCATGTGCATAATTATTTTTACTATGATAGTAGAGTAAAGGAGATTTTTTTATGACTCTTGAGACGCATCTTAGTAACCATTCTTAATAAGGTCTATCATAATACTTCTTGAAATATTCAGGTTTATAAACTCTCGTATTGTTATCACTTAATTATGCTCATTTAACATGTATTCTAAAATCTTAATTTACGCGCGCGCACTTTAACATATGATTATGGGTTGTACATTGGATTATTACATTATTTATGTTTTTTTGTTAAAGGTAACAACTAAGGGAAAGGAATATTATATAATTTAAAAAAAAAGAGTAGAAAAAAATAAAAAAATAAAATGATGATAATAAAAATATAGATAAGTTTGGTTTCGTAGCCTCCCTAACCTAAGCAATTAAGCCCGAAGGGGTGTTTTAACACCTAATACCATAAAGTCAACTGACTTGGGAGCTATTGGCCCAACCCTTATTACATGGGTTGAGGAAAAAAGTTTAAGGGAATCAAACATTGCACTATCTACGTATCAGTATTTGCGACCCAAGTTACTAAGCTCGTAGGGGTGTCTCAACACCTAATGCCCTAAGACCAGTTGGTCTGGGAGTCATTAGCTGAAAGCTCATTACATGGGTTAAAGATGCATGGTGTTTTAAGTTATATGGTACATAGAGTTAAAAAAAAAACAAAAAGAAAAAAAAAAGACAAAAATAGTAATCCCAACCCAAGGAAGTTAACCTTAAAAAAGAAAAAAAGAAAAAAGGAAAAAAATAATAATAATCCCAACCCAAGGAAGTTAACCTTAAACATTAGAATAAAAATTTTGTTTTCCTCCAAGAAAAGCCCCATAATTATGTGTTGATATATTGAGCATAAAAGAAACGTTTGTTAATATCTTGTTAAGAGGTATTGAGCATATATATAAATTTAATGAGAGTATGTTTATCTGGATAGATTAATGGAAGTTGAATGATGAATACCTTGCTTTGTGGAATTTGCAAATTATTTTTCTATTTTAATGCTTTGATTACTAGGAACTAGTAATAAGCTGGTTGGGGGGTGTGATTAGTACTTAAAAGTGCATTTTTATCAAGGTTTTATATCATCATTTTGCACTTGAAGTATCAGGAACTCCTTAACTAAAGAATGTTTTATAATAACGTATCTAATAATATAAGATACCTTTAATTTGTGGTAAATGTTTATTTTAAATGCAGACCTATCATATAAATGAAAGGATTGATTGATGAATTTAAGAATTAAAATTGAAAGGACAAAGAGATGGCCAAACTTAGAAAAGAGATGTCGGTGCAGTCTAAACCGGAATACTATTCAGTAATTAGGTCATATCTAGAGTTGTAGATCTCAGATTTAGCTCTACTTTATATGGATGGAAAGGTAAGACATAGACCTACAACTTTCATATGGAGTCCAAGATTTAAAAGGGTCATTGTTAAGTCCAAATTAGAGCAACAACAAAGAGGTCAGAATCTGTCCTCCAGCCCGAGCACTATTCAGTGTTTGGCCCATATCTAGAGTTCTAGAAGTCCAAATGATCTGAATTTTTTACAAAAAAAAAAAAGATTATACAATTTCCTACAACTTTGATGTTTTCAAGTGGTTCTAATTTTGACGTTATCAATGATGTTTTGGGCAAACAAGAGAAGATAAGGATTGTCACCAAGTCAAGAGTTGGTCACCCACTCATCAATTAGTCATCAAATCAATAGTTCCCATTTTTGGCCTATAAAAGGAGGCATTTGCCATTTATTTAGGCATCTTGGTGTTCAGATCAAGATCATGTTATTGCTTTCTCTCTTTGTATTTTTTGTAATGTTTATGCTTTGCTTTCATTAATATCAAGTTTATGCCTTTCATTTCCTTTCCTTTACTTAGTTAACTCTTATCTTATTTATGCTCTTATTTTGTTTATTTATTTTTCTTTCTTTCATTATGTCTAGCTAAGTTAGTTATGCTTTCATAATGTTTAGTTAAGTTTATTATGTCGAGGTGAAAAGGTTACACTAATGGTGTAAGAATAAGTATAATGTAAATTTAATATGGACTTTAATGTTTGATACTAACATGTTTTGTATTTGTTATCTTGTTCGCTCTTTAATACTTTGTTTGTTAAATGACTAATCTTGATTTATGTTGTATACCACTTGATACAACAAATGTTTGGCACTTTCATAGCCCATATTGTATGGTATAACCGACACCTGAGCTATGAAAGGAACTTGATTTGTTGTTAACATAAGTTATAATCATGAATGCTTGACGAGATTTACAAGTATTAGCATTAATCAAATAAGATGACTAATGTAATCATGTTAACAATCTATAATATAATTGGAACCTCTTTTGTATGTGGTTTTTAATTGAATAATAAGAGTTTATACTATACTTGTTTGACATACCATTAGTGGATCCTCTAACCTTGAAATTTATTATTATCATTATTTAATCCTTACGTTAATATTTCATCTCAAAGTTCTCATCTTTTTCTTCTTTTTCTCCTTCTTCTTTATTATTATTACTACTACTATTACTACTACTACTATTATTACTATTATTATTATTATTATTGCTACTAATATTATTATTGTTATTGTTGTTACTGTTGTTGTTGTTATTTATAATTATTTATAATTTGTATAATTAATCTCCCTGTGGTTCGACCTCGGTCTTGCCGGATTGTTTATTACTTTAACACTCCTGTACTTGGAAAAAGACATTAATCTTTTTGTCGTGTCAATAATATTTTTTGCTTATTCCTATGATGAAATAAGTGTTAGTTGTAAAGTGATAAATGGTGAGTTAAGCTCTTAATAATTATCATATTTTGGTACACTAAATGGAATATAGCAAAATACTCTTAATAAAACATCACTTAAATGAGTGAGAAATGTGGCCATTTATTTGAGAATATCAATAATGTGGAATTCTGTAAAGCATTCATGAATCTAAGAGTTGTTTAGGACCAAAATGAACATAACGGTAAGGTCCAAAAGAAATCTCTAGGTCGAGAAGAACTATGTGAGTACTATTATCTTAGTTTATACAAAAAACTAAATAGTTTAAGACATTACGTTCACTATTTAGCCAAGTAAATCCGATAGCATTTCACTAAGAAATGTTTAAAGTCAAAAGCTACCCATCATGATATAGTAATCTATCAAATTAGTATCTCTCAATAAATTTTTGAATCATTCTCAAACTGGTGAGACAATTTCAATTCATGTGAGGGATTATTAAAAATTTGTTTTAATTAAACAAGTTATAGGTGAGTGATAAATTAGTCTGAAAGGAACTTTAGTTTTTTTAAATTTAATTCTTGATTTATGGTAGCTAATTAAAAGTTGATAATAATAAAAATTAATTCTTATTAATTCTTCAATATTTTAGCTTTTAAAATTCAAAATGAGTGAAGAACACAACCCTCTAACTTGAATTTTTCATGTTTAAGATACTTTTTGTCACCTTATTTTTAGTGAGGGGTGTTGAAAAAGTTTCTAGCTTGAATTTTCATATTTAACATACTTTTTCTTATCTCATTTTTAGTATTTTTTTTATGCTTTGATTTTTCTTTAAAATCTAGAGTTTAGATTCATCTTGTTAAGAGATATATAAGTTCTATAATTTTTTTGGTTCAAAAATATTATTTACAAGTGCATCTAAATTAAAATAGTATTGTTGAAATCTTAGGAAGCATATTACAAACATATTAATTGCATAAATAAGGAGTAATAAAGTTTTAAAAATAAAATAATTTATTTTTTACAATAATAGAAGATTCATTACTTTAAACTACATTTTACTATCATTGTTTTTAATTTTAATATAATTATTTGTATTAATAGTATTTATAGTAGTTTTTTTATTTTATATTAATTAAAAATTTAAAGATATGCTTAATATAATTACTAGTATTATTATTATTATTATTTTGTTGAAAGAATATTTATTATTAGAATATTCTTACATGCTTATAATTTTATCATGAGAACGGAAGCTTTTGCAAGGGTTCGGGAGGAGACGTCGCTTTTTGCAGATTTTGGAAGAGGAGAGTGGCAGTTTTGTGAGGAAGAAGAAGAGGAAATGAGGGTTTATATATGGTGAAATATAACGCAGGTCGTAGCTGGAAGCGGCCTTTGGCAGCCATATCATAAACACCCGAACCTCCCTTTTCATCAACAAGACCCGCCACCGGTGGCAAGCAAGTGGGTTCCTCGAGTCGTTCCGAGCCCAAGGCAACAAGCTAGCTGAGGTATTTCCGTCCCTCAATCTTTTTTTCTTTTTTTTAAAGTGCAAAATTTGGTTAATTATTGAAACACCATGATATGTGCGGAAATTATGCTATTATTGAATTTATTTATTTTTTTGTGATTGTTTCAGCTTTTTTGTTTTTAAAGATATGAAATTTGTGGTTTTTCGGACACTTCGGGTAAGAAGCATAAGTGGTTTTTTGATATATTTGCCTAATTTACTACTTGGAATGGCAGTGAGGAGTCTCAGTGATTTGCTCGATCATAATAGTGTGAGGTTTAGCTGTTTTGCTTGGTGTTAATCTATAAGTTTTGTCCAACTCGCCATTGCAGTGATTTTGTCGATAATGCTAAGTTAATGTATTTCCTCATGTTTATTTCTGTTGATGGCACCTGTTTCTGTATGGGCGTGTATTTTCCTGCTTCTGTTTCAGTGGATTGCTTTGGCAAATTGAAGAAGAATTTCTTATTGTATCAGAGGCTCGAGTCTTTTCTTTGTTTTGCTTAAGTACATGATGGTGGTGGCATTTTATGTATGAGCTATCTCTTTGAATGATGGAAAATACCGTGAAGCACTTGGGAAGTGGAAGGCTGCTCTTAATTAATTTGATGCCTGAAAATGCAGTCTTACATGAACAAAAGGCACAAGTTTTGCTTGGAATTGGAGATTGCATGGAATGGCATTCAAGGCAGCAACTCGTGACATTGTTTATTACAATTTTCTGAGTGTATATACTGGTAAGAGCTTTAATTTAGTTTGAACTTTATTTGATAGGGGCAACTGAGTTCTAACCTTCATGGGCTGAGATATGACGATAGTGCATCTGTCAAATAACTAACTCAATGTAATAGTTTAAACTTGTAATTATTTGGTTATTAAAGCTCTTATGCTATATCAAATAGACAATTCAATATCCAATAACTTAAATTATATGATGTCTTAAAATATAATTTATATTATTCTCTAGCAATATTTAATTTTTATTTGTATCTCTTTCGATGAATTTGCTGGTTGAATATTTCACTGCTCCGGTATTTTTCCCCTGGATTAGCCTTCATGGGATTTTTATGTTTTAGACTCAATTTTTTGACAGTTGCCACCTCCTGTTCTGAGCTTTTTCTTTCTCCTAGAAAAGTTTCCTCAATCTGCCCTTTTTTCTTGTACCGTACAAGTAATTTTTGTTTTCCTTTCGCTAATAATTAAATCTATGGCATCCTTTGCTACATCGAAGTTTGTTAAAATGCAGTCACAGTGTGGTAAGATGGAGTTCATAAGAGCTATATGTACTGCATAACTTACTTAGGATAATTCTGAGTGCAATTCTAGTGAAGTCTAAGAAACTATTTACTCAAAGTATGCTAAATTTATTCTCTTGTTTCTTTTGCTTGTGGTCTTCTTAGGCATGGATCACCCTTGACAGAGCACAGTTGAACTTTGGGGAGACTGACAGTGCAGCTGAGAACTTCCTTAGAGCAATAGCCATAAAGGTAAATTCTTGTATTTCGGTGGCTTGACCTTTCTGGATCATTTTGTTTGTGAACTTTCAAATAAAATAGATTCATGGGACACTACCTGTCATCAAATGGTGAAAACAAGAAAGTTTCCTATCTAAAGATTGTTGTGAGTCATATCAGGTCTTAGATTAAGATTACTGTAATTTGACTTTGCTTATATCTTCCTGGCAATTTGCTTGGGTCGAAAACAATCTCAACTTTAAATGTTGGAGCTTGGGTGAGTCCTTATTTTTCCTTTCATCCCCTTTATTGAGTTCAACGATCTTGCTGAACTGTCTGGCAAATTCATCTTCTCAGTCTTTCCAAGAAAAAGGAACATAATGTTGCTCCAACATCTAAAGTATCTGTGGCCGTCTTTTACTTCCTTCACTTGGGCTGCCGGGAGAGTGATTCATTATAAGGTCCTGGTCTAGTACTATCATGACAGGTGGTATTCCTATTGACGTGCTTAGCTTCTAGTTCCATTTTTGTGTTTGTATAATGTATTTTTTGCTCAATTTCTCCAAATGCTCCATCTGCAGCCAGATGATTCTAAGGAGGCTCAAGATGTGACAGACACAGTGCATCGCAGCTTGTAAAAAGGTGAAAGCAGCGTCATTCATCAGGCTTGAGCACTAAAGAGAACCGTTATGTGGAGTGTGACAAGACTGAGAGCTCTTGAATAGATAAGAAAGTAGCATCAAAGCAAGAGTTTCACACTCATGTACCCTGTCCTGAGGTAGACCTTTTAAATAGTAGGCTACTGCTTTAACAAATTCATGAATATAAAGAAAATTCTGAATGGTAAAATATTCATATGGGTCGGTTGGGTACAATGTGACCTCAATCAGACACGAGAAATGAAGAGTTCAATTCAAAGAATTTGGCTATTTTGTGCTACAACTAGACTTGTATTATGAGAGGGAGAGATCAGAATGCGCGGGGTTTGATGTGATTCAATGGTCTGTCAGGTACCAATTTAATGATGCTATACTTAAAGGGGGCGTTCCATTCAACAGAGCTTATGGAATGACAGCTTTCCAGTATCCAGGCACTGACCAAAGGTTCAATAGGGTATTCAATCAAGTGATTTCAAACCACACTTCCCTCATCATGAAGAAAATCCTTGATATTTACGAAGGGTTCGATGGGCTCAAGGTGTAAGTTGATGCTGGAGGTGGAATTGGAGATACTCTCAACATTATCAACTCTAAGTATCCTCACATTGAGAGCATAAATTATGATTAGCAGATGCACCTTCGTATCCAGGTAACATTGCCTTTTTAATAGCACTGTACAAGGCTCTATCCCATTTGTATTTTTGATGCAATTTGCTCTATAAAGTATGGGGCCAAACAACGAAGTGGTACTATTTTGCCTTCCTGTTTCTGAAATGGACAGCTTTAACTTCCTATAAGACGTTATCTTGTAGGCGTGGAGCATGTTGGGGGAGATATGTTTGTTAGTGTGCCAAATGGAGATGCTGTTTTCATGAAGGTAAAGCCTCTGTGGGTTATCATCTCCATTTACCCCTATATACGTGTTCTTAGATTGAAGTTTGTCAAGATGTGAGTGAAAGGAAATTTAGTGAAATCTGAGGACTACTCTGAACTTAATAGGAAATAATTCATAGCAACCCCCAAGATGTAGACTTTGGTTTACAAAATTTCTATTTTACATAAGATCTGTGTTGGATTCTTTTATTTGTTGATTTGTCAATGTACCTAGCAGTGGACACTTCATGATTGGAGCGATGAGCATTGCCTGAAACTACTCCAACTGTTGGGAAGCTCTTCCAAGTAATGGTAAGGTGATCATCGTGGAATCGCTTCTTCCTGTTGCACCAGAGAATATTGCTTTCTCACACGTTGTCTTTGAACAAGATCTGTGCATGTTGGCTCAAGATCCTGGTGTATGGAGTTCGAAGCCTTGGAAAAGAAATCTGGTTTTTCAGGCTGTGAAGTCATATGTTGTGCTTACAACAGCTGGGTAATGGAGTTTCAAAAAGACAGCACTGCCATAAATTAACTTAAGCAATTTCCTCTCTTTTTTCCCCTACAATTGCTCTTGCTCCTGGTGGCTGAAGTGACACATACTCTGCTCATAGAACAGGGAGTCGAATAATTGCATCATGTACCAATGAACGCAAACTGAAACTTCATTTTTTGCCTACAACTAGGACTGCGTGTCGATTATCCGAAAACCCATTGCTATTTAATGATAGAACCATGGTCTTAAATGTGGCATTTTACCTGCTAGAAGCAAAGGAAAAGGCCTGGCAAGGAAACATCACCTGGGGATGAGATAAACATCAATGCTCACCAGAGAAGCACGCACGCATGCACTGGTAGGGGGTTGTGAAATTGAATTACAAAAGAAAATGTTCTCCTCTCATTATAAAGCACAGATTGTTTGAAATTCGGTTGCGTTTTGTAATTTTACAACATCACTGAGAGAGATTAGCTTTCCCTAACAAAAAATAATGAACCGAGTTCGGAACAAAATGAACAAGATGTTAGTGTTAAAAACATCGTTTCCAACATGCATATCTAATGATTCCCTGATCCTTGTAACTCCATGTACTGTATTTGGCGCTTGCCAACCAGTGAATGTACCAGCCTTCAGAATCATGCCCTGCCAAGAGTCGAGTATCCAAAAGTGAGCAAAACCTAAGAGTTTACAGCCTAACAAAATATTCTTCCCCGGAAGGCAGCGGGATCAAAATTCTTGACATCAGTTACACATACAAAATCAATATGATCAATGATTAAAACCATGAATTTTTATCTTGTAATTTCCTGAAAATGTCATGTGCTTTTCAACTCTTCGATTGACTGGCAGCCGACTTCACACTTTAGGGCTGCAGTTACAAGCATGTCCATTCCTTCTCTACCTTTATCTAATTCTTCTCCACCTTGCTTGTACAGTTTCTTGCGGTTTTCACATTCCTTTTTAACCCCTTCACCCTTCTTTGTCACGTACCTTTCAGATTTCTCATATGCCCTCCTTACCCTGCGTAATTTCTGTATTTTCAGATCACATCGCCTGCAAAACCATTTCCCTTTAGGTACAGAAATGCGTGGCGGAATCATGCAATAAAGGTGGTATGCATGATCACAGCCATCACATAAAACAATCTTATCATCATCTTTATCAGTGAGGCAACCTCTGCATAAACAAGAAGGGCAATACCAGCGAGGGCCATACAATATTAACTGCCTATTTGTCAAGCATCTCACATGGTAGTACTTGCCAGGGCATTCGGAGTGATCACATATATTTATCTTCTCTCCATTGCCCACTGGACTTGCACAAATTTTACATGTGCGTATGTTTTCAGTCCCTTCTGATGATAGCCGAACCTCATTACTCGTGCTGAAATTTGATGCCTCTTCAAAATCATTGAATGGTTCTTGAGGTGATATACCAATTTCATCACCAGCTTGATTAATTTGGGTCCTGGGGCAATTCAGCCTCTCACACGCTACACAATTCTCATGAATGGATCCCATACCACTTGCAGCACAGTTGTCACAGTACCAGCTTTTCGGGGGAATCTCTTTAACAGCAGGTTCAATACAGGAGACATGGTACATTTCCTCACATGAATCACAAACTAAACAATCTCTCCCATCTGCCTTTTCCCCACAACGCCTGCAACTGCAGACTCTGTAGACACAAGAAGCATCCTTTTGCTCTGGCTGACCATGAGAATCAGAACCCTGGGTGCAGAACTGTATTGCAGCACAAAAGTTTAAATAGGTATCAGAATGAACTATAATTAGAAAGACAATCAATCTTAAAAGTGGTACATATTTCTAATGCCAGCATTAGAAAACTAATTATACTGCTGAGATTTTGAAACAATTACCCCATGCTTTTCATCTTCAAATCTACAGCGTACTGATCCTCCCACCTGGAAACGGTTAAGATTTTCATTTAAGTTAAAAGGGAACCATAAAAGTGTATTAAGAAACAACAATAAATAGAAACGTGAAACAAAAGTTGCATCTAGCACATAACCAACATTCTCAGTCTGCCAGAAAAATATCTACATGTTGGATGTCTTACCCGTTCATCACAGCAAGTCTTTGATATTTCTGATAGGCTCTTTGAAAGAGAGATTAATTCAGCACCAAAACCTTGGAGCTTTCTCCAGAACTGAAAAGGTTATTTAGGTTTAAATGAACAGCACAACAAATAGAAATTGCATTTTCTTCTGATAACTAGAAATGGAAATGAAATAATGCATGCTGAATGATTGTTAAAACATTACAATGAATGAGACCAGCAATTGAATGTTACGTAGTAGCATGAATAACCAATAACTATGTAAATCAAAAAAAAAAATGATTGACATCAACATTTAGCATATTAACAATGGGCGAAGAGACAAATTAACTCATCAGGAGATAAAGCAAAAAAGATAAAGGCATGATAGTTTTCAACTCCAAAAAGATCCCCAAACTGTGTATGATCTAGTGCTTTAGTAAATCACTCAAAAGTTTGTTAACTAATAGGAGAGGGTAGAGATTGCACAATGCCAGCAGGAATTCATTTACACAGATGCATCTAAGATATAACATCAAATAAACATTGTGGTGAGAAAATGAGATTTTAAAGATACTACTCTATATAACAGACCACAAAAAATCAAACAAATAATAACTTTTGTAGGTGCATGACATCTTAAACATTGTATTCATCTTCCACTTTCATACAAAACACATGATGTCACTTAGCTTTTGAAATCACATAGGTGGCACATAAGCAACGTAATGCCAAGAAGAACCAGACATCCAGTCATAAAGCTTACTCAACAATGATTTCAGCAAAAGAATTGTAACACACTAGACAAAATAGTAACATCAAACTGCGTAGGAAGCATTGTGACAAATTACCTCCTCAATATCTTCACAGAAAAGCATTGGCGAATGATCATAAGCTCCGTCTTTCATCCTTCTGTCTATGAAACTCAGGCTAAGAATGCTGCCAGTCTTCATTCCTTGGAAGTTTTCAAACAGTAGCTTACAAAGAGAGGTGAACTTTTCTGACAGTAAAATACTAAGGAAAGCATGCTGGCACAACTCAGGGACACTGTGATGTTGTGATTCATCCAAAGCTCCATTTGACAAGACCCCTGCATGCCCTTTAGCTGTACTGTGAGTTCCATTAGCCATCTTCCCCATCAAAGGTGGCTTATCTGCATTGCAGTAACCAGACTCCTGAAGAAAGACAAAATGTAGCACATCCAATTTATGTTAAGAAACACGAACAACAATACTACACATTTAGCACATCCAATCTAATAGTTTCATAAATCTTAACTGCCATCATAAGTGCACCCCTCAAGCACCCCTGGATGCCATTTTCATCATTACTTAATGATTGATACATGTGGTCAAGGACAAACTTTCTCCACTGCCTCTGTGAAACATCATTTAAACGATTCATAGAAGCATGATTTCCACAACGATGGCCCCATGAATTGTCATCCTTTATGGTCTGCAAGAAACCACATATTAGCTAGATCAAAGATACAGAACAAACATTCAAAATGCAAGTATCTTCTCTATAGAATCATACATGGTAGGAGTAACTTGCAACAAGTCAATACATAACGAGATTGCATATGCAAAAATTGGCATGGATGGCCTAGGCTTGTGAGCTACCTGGTCTGACAATCTACTAGCAGCTTCCATAAAACATTTCCCATCCTCTTGACCTTTACTATCCGAACTTGACCTCATGTTCCTTCGTCTCTTGTAAGTTCGAAAACCCTCACTGCCCCCAGAGCTTGCATCACCACCATCATTTCCAAACCCATTGTCCATTGCTTCCATATTTAAGTGCCGAAACCTTTCTTTTGCACCCTCGCCATTGCTTGTTCCCTCTTCACCAACCATCCTTTACAAGTTTTTTTTTTTAAAAAACCCTAATTTCAAGCTTTTCAGCCCCAAATTAGGGTTCCGCTGTGACACCCACAATGGAAAGAACATAAAATTGAGCAAAACTGCTGAATACATAATACAAGAAATTAAAGAAAACAGCATAAATTAATTAAAAAAACAAATCCGAGTGTTAAAAATAAACCTAAGCTTGTTTCAGGCAGCCAGGAAAACACAAAAAAAAAAAAAAACCCTTTGCTTGAGGTTACAAAGGCTAAATTAAGTGAAGTAATGGTAAATTCTTCAATCAGAGTAAATTTGACATGAATAACCCCCTCCCCAAAAAAAAAAAAAAAAAATAAGATTCAAGAGTTGAAGTTGAGGTTTCTTTTCTTTAAATTTCCTTTCACATTGCTCAGTTACCAAAGAGTTAACATAAACAAAATGAAGAGAAAATCAAAATAGAAGGAGAGAGCGTGAAGAAAGCGTACCCGACCGAGTAGAGGATTTTTTAGGCCTGGAAAACTGAAACCCTAATTATCTGAGACCAAGAAGATGAAGAAGAAGAGTTGGGCTTGTTTCTTTATTTTGTTTAGAGACAGAGTGAGCAAGAAAAAGAGTATGGCTCTGCAAGTAGCAGGTCTTATCCTTGTTTGTACCTTGCGGTGTTCTGCTGTAATTTATTTTTAAAATTTAAAATGTTTTGGAATTCCGGGTCCTTGTAATAACAACTTAAAGGAAAATATTATTTAGAAAAGCTAAAATAATAATATAATATTTTTATATGCATTTTAATAATATTTTAAAAATTAAATTAAATTTAAATATATTTAATATTAATAAAATTATTTTTTAATTATAACTAACTAATACCTTCAGTGATTTTACATAATTTTTTTTAATTTGTTTTACTTCTCACCTCTCTCTCTTAATGAAAGTGATTAGAGAAATTGAGTAGGATCTGGTAGTGGATAACCCGGGAGGTTTCAAGGACGGACACGTGTAGGTCATCAGGGATCGGCTTGGCTAGTTAGTGGGTGACGCCATCTTCTAAAACTGTCAAATCCTCCTCCTCCTCCTGAAGCAAGAATCTAAGGTCCGTGGGGATTAATCGTACACGCCTTCTGAAGTATTTTAGGACTTGGCTTAATGGTGGAAGAAGTTTATTTTCTTCCACTGCACCTGGGTTCAAGTCTTGATGTGCATGTTTGTTATCTTCGCTGTGCTTTACATGCCTACTGGGTTTGCAGGGTATTCAGTAAGCCATGGAGATTAGTTGTAGTGCGCACAAGTTGACCCAGACATCCTACGTAAATAAAAAAAAAATAAGAATCTAAGTTCCGTACTTGATTCAAGTGGATGTCC